TGTTGAACTCTAACCTCCCAGGTCCGTTATATAAAAGCGCGAATGACCTTAACCATCCCTTCATGAGCACCATATCGGGTCTGTGACTTTGATTTATTCTTATCTATTTCAGTGAACACCATTATCGCTAGAGCGCGGCAACGAGTCTGTGACTTTGATAGATAATATTATAAACCAAAATGCATAAATGTGAAAATACATAGCAGCCAACGGCTGAATACACAACAGCCAACAACTGAAAAAAGTGGGAGGACAGATCAAAAGACCGCCTAGAATCCCGACTAGCAACGCTAGAATAATAAATACTCGCAACTAAACTAACCAGCTACACGACTACCAAACGCAAACTAAAACTAAATCAACTAAAAAGACCCCAACAGGGTAATAGCCGAGTGTCGGATCCCAACAGGATAATAAGGTGACACTCGGGTTCACAGGGGCCAACGACCTTAACAAAGAACACACAGACAAAGAGCCCAAAACAAAATACAATTTACTACAGAAAAAGACACGGAAACGAAACACCATCTAAGAAAGAAAGAAAGCCCTTCCACGACAAATCAGACGGCCCAGACCAGCGGAGAACAGTCAACATCCAAGATCAGTCCAAGTCTAGAGGACGGCTTCCGAAACTGCCACAAGGCCTATACAAAAAGTCGAGCCCGAACACAGACCAAACTACAAATCAACCCACCTCAACCAGAGGGACATCCGAATCGACCCCACTCTAGCACCCCCAAGCACGCCTAACACCACTGGCCGAGCAAAGAGACACCAATAACCCCTCCGACTAACACCACTAGCCGAAACAAGGGGGCGGCTCGATCCCTCAACTCCGACACAACATCAGAGCCCCACCCCGCCTCTTGACCCACAGACATATCACTGCTTTCCACCGGCACCAGAACGAGAAGAACCCCAAACGGGGTTTCGCCGAAAAAAAAAAAAGGGACCACCCAAAAGGCCCTCCATTCGCGACAAAATATACATAGACAGGAACAGAAACTGAAATTGGAGGGAGACTCACCTACAATCGAAACCGAAGGGCAAAAGACGCACCAATTGCAGACCAATCGACCACAATAGGGTTGGCCTCCTCCAATCGCAACATCCTCGGCGAAACAGGGGCTGGGCAGACTGACAAACTTCAGCACACTGCGGCAACACCAGAGGTCCAGGATTGCAGAGGAGGGGCGGCGGTCGAACGCGACCACCGGCCGGCGCCGCACCGCCGCCGAGGAAGGCGACGCGAGAGAAGAGAAAGGCGCTAGGGTTCGGTGAATTTTTTTCGGAAGAGAAACGCGAGCAATTCCCATGTAACTATGGTCCTATAATTTCAAATTTTTTAAATTAATTATTTGATTAAACACTAGCGCTCATATGGCAAAAAAAAAAAAAAAAAAAAAAAAAAAAAAAA